CCAGGTGGACGACAACGGCCGCCGCCCTGCCGACGTCTACCTGCCGCGGTGGCGCAACGGCACGGCGGCCGCCCGGGACTTTGCCGCCACGTCAGGGTTGCGCGCCGATCTCCTCGCCGCGTCGGCCGCTTCGTCAAGCGCAGCGACGGTGCGGTACGAGGAGTTCAAAAGGCAGCACCAGGACACCGCGCGGCTCTGCGCGGCACAGGGCTTCGCTTTCCTCCCCATGGTGGTGGAAGCCCACGGCGGCGGGCGGGGCCGCGAGGCACGCAGGGCCTTCGGGGTCCTGGCCAAGCGGGCGGCTGACGCCACGGGGGAAGACGCCGCACTGGTTGCGGACCAACATGCCCAGCGACTTTCCGTCTCCCTGCACAGGGAGAACGCGCGGGCGGTGTTGCGGCGCCTTCAGACCCTGTCTGGAGGGGCGGGTGTGGCAGCGGCCCGCCTGGCCGCGGCCGCCGCGGCCTCCACGGCAGACGCCGTGTGAGGTGCCCCCTGCGCTGCCTAGCGCCCCCCGCCCACCCCCCCCCGCCCTTGCTGGGCAGCGCGGGCGCCCCCCTCGCCCTTTCGCCAACGTCGCGCCGGCGACCCCTCCCACGCGCCGCCCGGCCTTTCCCCGGCGGGGCGGTGGATGGATCCCGCAGAGGGCAATCCCCACCAAGCCGCATCGCGCTGGGGGTCGGGCGGCCACCCCGCCCAGGTCGCCGCCGTAGGGTCCGCAGCCTCGTCGCGGGCGGCTCTTCTCTCCCGGCCCCTGGCCCGGCCTGTCTGCTTGCGGCCGCTGCTTTCTCTCCTCCTTGTCCTCCTCCCCCTCCTCCCCCTCCCTTCGCTTCTGCTCGTTGCTTCCCTCCCTTTCCTTTCCTCCTGCTCCCTGCCTGCTGTCTCCGCCTGGCCCGTCTTCTGCCTGCCCGCCCGCCCCGCCGGCCCTGGCCTCCCGCCTGGGCGTTCGTCGTCGTCTGCCTGCTTCTCCCCTCCTCGTCCCCTTCCGCCGGACAGCACAGCCTGCCCGGAACCAGCGTGGCGGCATCTAGGGGCCTGACGCGCTTTTGTTTCACAGCTTTCGACCCCTGAGGCGGTTTTCTGGCCCAGGGAGAGGCTCAGGCGCCGGAGGGGGTCGCCCGCTCGCCTGCGCACCGCGTGAGCACCATGCCTGCACAGGCCCCACGGGGTCCCTCGCCCGACCCGTGGGTTGTCAACAAGAAAAAACTCGGGATGTGAAGCCAGCCCCAGGGTAGTGGTCTAGACCTCCCAGGGGGCCTGGCCAGATATCGGGCCCCACGATTTCGCGCTGTTCCCCCGAAGGATGTATGGGGCGCCGCGACCGGTCCAGAGCGATCTCGGAGGCCCCGACAGCGTTCTGAACTGCTTGTCCTCATCCTACGCCTGCCTGAGCCTCGCCTCTGCGAGCAGCGCTGGCGTCGAACACCTGTGCGCTCGCGCATATGCCTCCTTGGTCGAAACAGGAGGGCGCACGCCCCGATTCCGGGCCCAGGATTGGCCCAGGCGTCCAGCGGGTGCATTTTTCAGCTGGCGGGCCGCAAAAGTCTCGACGTTTTCCCTCTGGGGGGAGGCTTTCGTCCCAGGGCCATTGTGATAGTCCTGGGGTCCGAGAGCGGGTCCCGGCTCCTCCTTCTCCTCCTTTTCCTCCTCCTCCTCCTCCTCCTCCTCCTCCTCCTCCTCCTCCTCCCTCCTCCCTCCTCCCTCCTCCCTCCCCCTCCTCCCTCCTCCTCTTCTCCTCTCCTCCTCTCCTCCTCTCATCCTCTCCTCCTCTCCTCCTCTCCTCCTGCCGCAAGCCTGGTTACGGCCGGGAGCTTTGGCCTAGCTTGTTGCTCCACGGGCTTTTGCCCACCTGCGGCGCGGCACGCTGATTTCGGGGGCGGCCAAGAGGGGGGTGATGATTGAGGGGGTGGATATAGTGACGTGGGCGATGATATATCCTAGGATTTCATGGCGCCTCTTCTTATGTCATTACATCCCTCCCCCCACCCCTGGGCCGCGCACATGCCGCTGGCCATGATTCGCGCCCCCCCTCTTGGACGCCCCGTCTTGGCCGCCCCCGATAGTATGCACATCCCAGCCCCCATGCGTCAACATCCCGAGCCTTTCCGATCCTCCCATCCCGCGGAGCGGAGCGACACGCCATCCGCCTGCAAGGCATAGCGTGTCGCCCGGGCCGCCGCGGCGACTATGTAAGCAAAAATTCCCGACCGTAGCTGATTCTCTTGTTTAGGAAGGCGGGCACGTACACACCACCACCACCATGCCTGACCAGGGCCATCATGGGCAGGATTCGGGCGCACACGGCACCAGTATGAATCCGGCCTGGAAGAGAATTGCGGTTGTGTTGGGAAAAAACCCGCGGTAATTCCACGCCGCATGCGTGGCTTCGCATGTCAGGGTGACTTGGCGCGAGTAGAGCCCGCCATCGTTTTGAAGGGTGCCTCAGAGAATATCCAGCTGCCTGCTGCAGGTCTCCACCGTGCCAGCCCACGTGGCACCTCGTGTCACCATGCTTGAGATAGTAGCCGTGACGAGGAGGATGATGATGCTGCTGATGATGATGATGTTGCTGATGATGATGATGCAGATGATGATACTGATGCTGATGCTGCTGATGATGATGATTATGATGATGATGATTCTGATGCTGATGCTGATGCTGATGCTGTTGCTGCTGCTGCTGATGATGATGATGATGATGATCATGATCATGATGATGATGATGACGACGATGATGATGATGATGAGGAGGAGGATGAGGATGAGGATGAGGATGAGGATGAGGATGAGGATGAGGATGAGGATGAGGATGATGATGATGATGATGATGATGATGATGATGATGATGATGATGATGATGATGATGATGATGATGATGATGATGCTGGCGATGGTGATGCTGGCGATGGTGATACTGATGGTGATGAGGATGACGATGACGATGGGGTGCTTGCGCACCCGCAGGGCGGAGGAGGACGATAATGGGGGGAGCAAGGCAGGAGCAGGACAACGCGGATCAGTGCACGCGGACAAGGAGGAGGAGGAGGAGGAGGAGGAGGAGAAGGAGGAAGAGAATGCCCACGCCCTCCCGTTTCATTATCACGAGCCGCAGTAACACACTCCAGGCCTGCACCGCGCGTCGGGGTCGCCTGGCCTGGCCGCCAGCCCCGGTAAGCAACATATGTTTCACATATTTGATTTCAATAACTGTCCGCGTGGTCGCCGCAGGGAGGTACTGTTCGGGGTGCGATAGCTTGCGCGCCTCGGCCGTGCCGACGTGGCGCTGGCAGAGTGTACCACCCTCTGCTTGACCGCGTGGCGCGGCTGGATGGGGGAGGATGACAAAAGAGGACGGGGAATATCGTGCCAAAGTGCCTGCGCAATATAGGCGATCGCCGAGAATCAGAGCCCCGAGTTATCATGGCAGGGGGTGGCCAGGGGTAACTCCTGGTGCCAGCCGCCCAGTTTCGCGCTGGAGCGGCCCAGGACCGCACTCGCATCACGCCCTTCCCTGTGTATGATGGGCCTGTTTTCCATCACCACCACCATAAGTTGGAGGGGGGAGGTGGAGAAGGAGGAGTAGGAGTAGGAGGAGGCGGAGGAGGACGGAGAGGAGGAGGAGGAGGAGGCATAGGAGGAGGAGGAGGAGGCATAGGAGGCATAGGAGGCATGGAGGAGGCATAGGAGGCATAGGAGGAGAGGATGAGGAATAGGAGGAGGAGGAGGAGGATGCATAGCAGGAGGCATAGGAGGAGGAGGAGGGGAGGAGGGGGAGGAGGAGGAGGAGGAGGAGGAGGAGAGTAGGAGGAGGATGAGGAGGAGAAGGAGGAGGAGGCAGAGGAGGAGGGAGGAGGAGGAGGAGAAGGCGGAGGAGGAGTAAGGAGGAGGAGGAGGAGGAGGAGGAGGAGGCGGAGGAGGAGGAGGAGGAGGAGGAGGAGGAGGAGGAGGAGGAGGAGGAGGAGGAGGAGGTGGAGGAGGAGGAGGAGGAGGAGGAGGAGGCGGAGGAGGAGGAGGAAGAGGAGGAGGAGGAGGAGGAGGAGGAGTAGGAGGAGGAGGAGGAGGGGGAGGAGGAGGAGGAGGAGGAGGAGGAGGAGGAGGAGGGGTTCTTCTGGATCGAGTGGTTCCTGGGTTTTCCCAGATCGCACACCTGGAGGCGCCAAGCGTAGCCCCGTCCTGGACGCCTCGGGGTGCCCGAGAGAAGGGCAGGCGCTGCCCCCCGAGCTCGAGGATCATCGACGCTCCTGGGGGGATCGGGGTTTTGGAGGGAGAGCCTCGAAGGGGATCGGCGACTGGAAAAGGAGCGAGGCCCCGGAGGGAGCACCGTCGAGGCTGACGAGCCAGGCAGGATCGAGGTCTTGGAAGGGGGGCACCGAGGAGGGTCGAGCATCCGGGCATGGCCGAGGTCCTGCGGGGCAGGCCGAGGAGGAGGAGGAGGAGGAGGAGGAGAACGAGGAGGAGGAGGAGGAGGAGGAGGAGGAGAAGGGCATGCTCGCGATGTCCCAGAGGGAAGGCGTCGAGGAGGGCCGAGGCTCTGGGGAGGCTCGCGGCCTTCGAGGAGCAGGTCGAGGAGGGGCGGCGCTCGGGGGAGGCTCGAGGCCTCTGGAGGAAGGCCTGCGCCCTGCGCGCCAGGATGCAGTCGGGCCTGTCACTCTACACATTGTTCATTTCGAATTATTCGACAGTTCTTTGATTTTTTTGAGGGGCCAAGATCCTTTTATTTCTACTTGTTCTATCCTGGGCCTCTTCCTGGCCACTAGGGGGCCAGGAACATTTAGAAGCGAGAACAATTAGAAATGAGCACGATTAGAAATGAACGACGTGTACAGGAGGAACATTCAAAACTACTCCAAAAGATAGTCTAGAGACGAGCTGAGGAGCATGTTTGGACCATTTTGGAATCCTTTTTCACTATTCTCTATTTCTCGTCCAAGCTCCCCCTGCAGGGGGACACGCCCGACCTTACCTACCTCTCGAGGGAGGCCTGCGCCCCTGCGCGCCAGGAGGGCGGGCGCCTGCAGACCGAGCAGCACGCCCGCGCCCTCGAGGCCTGCCGGCGCCTCTACGGCGAGGTGTCGGCGCGCGCCCCCGCGCTGCTGCCCCTGGCCGGGCGCGCGGTGGCGGACGCGGAGGCCGCCTTCGCCAGGTGCCGGGCAGCGCTGGGCAGCATTGCTCGGTTCAGATCTCGATCCTCCCCCGAGCGTCGTTCCAAGGGACTCATGTCCCCAGACGTGATCGCGTCTTATATATATATAACACACAAAAAAACAAGGCGGAAGGTTTTTGGCCATTTTCGGCCCCAGGGGGCCCTCGCCAGGCCTCGGGACCGTCAGACCACGCCTCAGGATGAGAAACTGGTCCCGGGGAAAGGGTCGGGACTTCGAGGGACGCCGTCTTGGAAAAATCGCGACGGGTCCCGTCTCCGTGGGAAGTCGCGGGCTTCCGCCGCCGAACGAGGCGGCACCAGCCGCATTTTCGGGAGGGCACCTCCCCCGATCCATGGATTTGGCGACCGCGCGCCAAATCCATGGACCGCTAATCCATGTTTGCGCGGCCCCGATTTGGGGCGTATTCGGCTTCCATGGGCCCGCACCAGGCTCCGGGGCCGCCGAGCAACGACTCGGGATGCAGAAGCGATTGTAGGGAAGTGGTCTAGACTCTGGACCAGTGGGACGGTCTAGACTTCCTTGTATCCACGCGAACACAGAAAACACGACGCCAGAGGTCTGGAAGGGCAGGGCCGTCAGCAGCAGCATCGAATCGATGAATCAGATCGGATCGGAACGTGCATCGAGTCGGGCGCATCGGCACAAGGTCGGAATCGTATCGAATCGGCCACGCCGGGGATGCGCAGCCGCGGAGTGCAAGCATCGGGTTTACATCGGACCGTCGGAATGTCGGAATCGACATCGGATCGGGCAGGCCCAAACCGACACCGAATCGGATCGATCGGGGCGAAATGGGCGTCTACGGACCGAGGAGGAGGAGGAGGAGGAGGAGGAGGAAGAGGAGGAGTAGGAGGAGGGGGGGAGGAAGAGGAGGAGGAGGAGGAGGGGGGGGGGGGAGGAGGAAGAGGAGGAGGGAGGAGGAGGAGGAGGAGGAGCATCGAAGATCGAAATGGGCGAGCTGATCTTGGCCTCCAGGGCGCCCCTCGTGGTCGCGGCTGGACGCAGAGCTCCAATAACTCGTCGGGACGGGCGCCCTTCTCTTCTCCTCCTCCTCTTCCTCGTCCTCCTCTTCCTCCTCCTCGTCTTCCTCCTCCTCCTCCTCCTCCTCCTCCTCTTCCTCCTCCTCCTCCTCCTCCTCCCGTTGCCGCCGCCGCCGCCGCCGCCGCCGCCGCCGCCGCCGCGTCGTCGTCGTCGTCGTCGTCGTCGTCGTCGTCGTCGTCGTCGTCGTCGTCGTCGTCGTCGTCGTCGTCGTCGTCGTCGTCGTCGTCGTCGTCTTTCCCCGCGTTCTCCACAATGTTCCTCTGCCCAGCCCCAGCGACGAGCACAACGAACGGCTGCCGACAGCCGTCGGGGTTCTTCAGGACGTCTCGATCTGGCGTGTCTCCCCAGTCTCAGGCTGATGCGGGGTCGTGTCTCGACCCCCCGTGGCCGTCCAGAGCGGGCCTGGGACGAACGAGACCCCCTGCATGGGGCCCGCGGGTTGAAAGGCTGGATCCGTCGGAGGCCCCTTGGCCTCGCTCGGAGCTCAGGCCATTGGATCTTGCGAACCCCCCTCTTGGACGCCCCCCTCTTGGACGCTCCCGAATCCAGGTGGTCCCGGCTTTTCCGGGGAGGCCCAGGCGGCCTCCTGAGCACCTCCCTCCAGAGCACCCCTCGCGAGTGGCGAGCTGGGAGCGCCTCGGCGAGGAGGACGGGGAGGAAGAGGAGGAGGAGGAGGAGGAGGAGGAAGAGGAGGAGGAGGAGGAAGAGGAGGCGTAGGATGAGGTGTAGGAGGAGGGAGGAGGTGAAGGAGGAGAAGGAGGAGGAGGAGGAGGAGGAGGAGGGGGAGGAGGAGGGGGATGAGATGAGATGAGACGAGACGACTCCCAGGAGGACACTCCGAGGAGAGAGGGGCCAGCCCAGATCAAAATGGGGGCGGGGCGCACCATCAGGGGGAGATTTTGAGAGGACGAGAGTGGTGGACACTTGCCACACTCGCCCTCAGCGACAGGTGCACCCGCTCCAAAACTTAAACCTTGCCGCGAGCCTCCTCTCGAGCGCGAACCCGCTCAAGGAGGCGTGCCATTCGAGCTTCATACGGGATGACGCTGTCCGACGAATACTCAACGACTGACGTCGACGCTCGGACATCCCGCGCACTCGCAACACTGAGACCGACTCGAGGGGCGGGGACGGCTCGGTCGATCAACGCACGAATTCGGGGATTCGGGGCCAGCCCTCTCCGAAATCGAGACAACATTTTTTTCCTGTACTGGCGGAAGGGGCGCAGGGCCTGGCTAACTTAATGGCCTTCTCCTGACTCCATCCTCCACACTTCAGACACAGAAGGGAACCCCGTCGAGCCTCACTCTCGACTTCGGCACGGCATTGCACGGGACGCAGCGGAGCAAGACGAGAGCCACAAACGGCGACCAACTGATGCCCCAACGCGTCAACCGTGAAAGGCTTCAAAAAGGACGGGGTCCCGAGACAGCCATTCAACGGCAGGGTGCGGCAAGACGGCGCAATCTTGAAGCAGACATCACACTGCCATCCCAGCTCACCCAAGCCCCAAGAGTGCCACCCCTCCCCCCGAGTATTCTTTTTACGATGCAGTGGTGTTGACCGTCGCCAGCGCTGCGGGCTATCCTCGAGAATGCACGGGAGGACGGCAGCAGCGAACGAGACAACATCGGCGGCTCGGCTCCTCGAGCTCGAGCTTGGCCAATAACTCGGGCGACGGCGCAGGGTGCAAGCTTGCAGCGAGCTTGGCAAGATGATCGGCGACTCGATACGTTTCGGCCCAGTGGCGCTTCTCGCCCTCAAGACGCTCGATATGTTCTTGGGGCCTCTGAGCCTTGACATGCCGAGCAGGGATGAATTGGTGGCCCTCGAGGCCACGACCGAACTTAAGGATGCCTGCTGCTGCTGGAAACGGCGAATAGCGGACAGGCAGCCATTTCCAGCTAGGGTCTCGCGGTCGGCGATCTGGCCAATCAGACAGAGCGCAACGCTCTCGGCAATGCTCGGCGTTTGAGGGAGGTGGCCTGCCACAGGCCCGCGTGTCACTGCAACGGGCACATTCGAATCAGGCGACAGAACGGCTATGGACCAGGAGGCGCGCTCAAGCTCTACTAAGCTCGGCCGCGTGCAGGATCCATCAGGGGCTACATCCAAACGAGGGCCCTGAACCAGCGAAGCCACCCCCTCCACCTCAACGTCCAACTCCTCCCCCTCAGGGCCCTCGAGAACCACTTTATCCGAGCGGGAAGGGGGAGGACTTGCCTCCTCATCATACAAAAGCATTCCTTGAACAAATATGTGATCAGCAGATTCAAGGCCTGCGCTCAGGAATAGCGGGCTGACCTCAGCCTCGGCGCGCGCAGCCACGACTGAACGCAGCATGCATTCATAGAGACAGTGCTTAATCGTTTGCCTCTGCCCGCACGCGCAGAGACCATCACAGAGGTAGCCAGCAGCACGGGCGCGGGCCTTAGTCCAGACACCGCGGCGCGAGCAGCTCCCGACGAGAACCTTCTGCAGACTGGAAAGCCGACGAGACCGACCGCCGATCGCCGATCGAACGAAGTCGAGCGAGGCCCTGGGTCCTTGTGGAGCTCCCAGCTGCACGGCTAACGACATCCCGTGTTGCCGTTGAATCCCAGCGAACATGAAGACAGGCAGCATGCTCGGAGGCGTTCGACTAATGGCAATCGTAGATCCCCTGTGGTCCACCCAACTGATCGCAGACAGGGCGCGCCAGCCCGCGCGCCGCACGGCAAGAACTGCTCGAGACAGGGGGGCCCTACTGGGCTGCCCGTCGGAGACCTCGCATGGCTTGTCTTCGCGCCAGAGCCTCAACAGGCGAGCACGCACAGCAAGCGGATGCTCACATACCTCCGCCTGCCAAAGCATCCTGCGCCGCTGGATGGCAGGTGCGATGGCTGACGCGCCTGCGCCGCCGCCGAGCAAGACCGTCTTGCTCGAGAGGCTCACTACACCATGCGCAGGAAGCTGCCCACGCGCCACATCACGCCTGCAACGGAGCCACTCCGAGTTGCTGAGCCCGACGACCTCGCTGCCGTAGGTGGCCTCGGGCATGGCGCCAGCGCGGGCGACGCAACCGATGGGCTGCGCCCTGTTGCCATTGGTGACCTTCCCGAAGCGCCTGATCTTCCCCATGCGCCTCACCATGTGCGCCCTGCGCTTCATGCGCCTGGTGGGCACCCCTCTGTCGACGCACCGACTGCCCTCGCTAACATAATTTCCAACATGCACAGCGCTGCGACGGGCAACTGCGGGGGGCAGACCAAGCGTGCGGACGATGCCCTGCGCGAGGGAGATGCTGGTACCCACGATCACGAGCTTGTCGTTGACGACTGCGTCGAGCTCCGAGACCGTGGCCTTGAACTCCACCATGGCATAAACCATCATGGATGTAGTGGTCTTCGCAGAAGTAGACGAAACCCGAATCGAGTTGTCATCGATATAGCTCACAAGCCACAAGCTGAATGCACGGCTGCCTGATTAGGAAGCTATCGCACTCCCTCACCGACCAGATCTTGACGGACACGTCACAATACACATCACCTGCGGGAAGGCCGCAACCAGCACAGAGGGCCTGCTCCGCATGGTGACCAGCAAGTCGCAGGACACGAGGTGCACGCCACATGTTGTACACCAGCTTCAGAAATGCCGTCGGCGCGTGGAAACTTATGCACTTGTCCCGCAGCCTTTCCAACGGGATGCGCTCGTAGTACTTGCTGAAGCCGGCGACAGCCAGTGCCCCATGGTAGGACTGCTTGCGGTCGGCCTCGCCCTCGGCCGCTTGGAGCCGCGCGCAGTCGACGGAGGAGCGCCCTCGCGCCGCACCCCAGTGCGGCCCGTCGATCTGCTCCTGCAGCTCCCGAAGAACTGGCCGTCGTAGGCTCTGCCAGACTCTGTAGAGGCCAGCGTAGAGCACCGCCAACCGATTCCCCGAGCCAGACGCCTTGGGCAACATCGGCGTGACCAGCCAGCGCAGTTGCCGCGGCGGCAGGCCGAGGGCCTCCATCGCGGAGAAGATGAGGGCGACCACCTCGAGTTCCCGGTCATCCAGCAATAGGAAGTGACGAGGATGCACGCTATCATGCGCCGCCGTGGTAGCGGAAGAGAACGTCCGAGCAACGGCGCGCATGTCTTTGGCAGTCGCCCTCTCCAAAGCAGTCCTGTCAGGAATCCATGCCGGCACAGGTCGGGGGCTGGACCACAACCTCTTGTACAGCTCAACCTCATGCCGAACAACATCATGAACGTGTGCGGACGGCCCATGGGCAGTCGGGGCCACCGTAGGCCGTGCGAGGTCACGGTGCTCGGTGGCGCGGCGGAGGACGCGCGAGCCATTGGAGACCGCCATCGCGCACCACTCCTTCCACTCCTGGTGTTCCTCCTTGGGCGCGCCGCTGGCCGCGAGCTTGATGTCGGGCTCGATATCGTCAAGGAAGTCACGGCAGGCCTCCTCGTCGAAGTCACCTTGCGCGAGCACTCGGGCCTGCTGGGCGGAGCGATCCTGGCGCGCAGACAGGCCCTGCCCATGAAAGACCGCCGTGGTGAAGTTGAGGAGTTCCTCCGCGCGCATCGCGAGGTCCTGCTCGGACGGCCTGGCTAGCCTCATGAGCGCCATGATACTGAGGAGGGAACTCTGCAGCCGCTGCCAGCCCTCAGACACAGACTGCAGGTCGGAGGCATCCTTAACCGCGTAGGTGATGTCGACCCATCGAGGCCGTAGAGGGCGTGCAAAAGCTTGAACAGTACAATCATGGTGACCAACAGCAGCAGCAATCGCCGCAGCAGCTCGCACCGCGAAATGGCCCCAAGCAGCAGAAAGGAGACCCCAGCCAACTTCAGGTGGGACTCCTTCATTAGCACACGCCTCGACAGCAGCTTCAGCGACTCGGCGCGCACTGTCATATGACGGCGGCGGGGGCTGAGGGCCGATGGTGACCTGGGTGTTCATCTTCGGAGCCACCGTGTAGACCAGCCTATTGACGTGCTCGGCATCACCCCTGAGGAGAACGTAGGCTGGTCGATGGCCGCGCTTGGCCCACTTGACATCGATGCCCACACTAGCATGCATCCTCATGGCCGCCGAGTTGAGGAGGGAATTGTCAATGATGGACTGACCTGTTCCTCCGCGAACCGTAATCGCCGATGCGCTCACCAGCGCACGCCCAACATGAGCAGGAAATTGGCTCGCCTCTAGCCCGCCAGGGCGCATGTTCCAGTCGCCGCCAATGATGACGCGGCCGTTCAAAGCCTCGGCAGCCGAGCCCAACTTCTGCAGTAATCTGCCATTCCGCCCACCAGCGCCCTCATCCGTGAACAGGTAGACATTGAATACGTGGAGGCTGGTGGGCAAATCAGGTACGTCAATCATAACGTGCTGAACTGGATTAGGCCAGACCTCATGCAACCCGAGGACTGGAGGCCGAACGCCCAGGCAGTCGCGCACAGCAATCGCATCGCCTGCAGACGGTGCCGAGCCCACCGCGGGCAAGCTCGGAAACGCCAAGAGCCCCCAGCCGCGGCCGCCACGCCAGGAGCTCAGGGCCTCAACGTGATCGCTGATGCGCCCGAACTCCTGTAATAGCACGGTGCTGGCCGCGGTGCTGCCAAGGCGCTGTTTGACGGACGCCTTGCCGCCGCTCGCATAGTAGGACTCGATGCTGAACTCAGCGCCCAGAGCAGGCCGCGCCCCAAGCGGCGGCGCGCGGCCGCGGCCAGGCAGCCCACATACGTTGGGCCGGGCACATGGCGGGCCCGTAGCGGCGCCAACGCAAACCCCTGGCTGGCGCGAGCCCGAAGCAGCGGCAGGGCTAAACCCGCCGCGGGCTTGAGCTCCACCTCCGACCACATGGCCCCGAAAGCCTGCATGAACTCGTCGAAGCCGCCCTCCGTCCGAGCGTGGTAGAGGGCCTTCTTCTGCTCTGCAGTAGGGGCTGCTTCCATGGGTACGTCACCGCCATCGGCAGCAGCAGCAGCAATCCCAGCGCCGCCGACACGGGCCGCAGTCGTGCTGGCGACCGCGGCCTTGAGCTTGGTCCAGGCCTCAGACATGAGGATGGCGACGAGCGCAGGCTGGTCGGCCACGCCGTCCCCGACGAGGTCGATGTCGACAGCGCTGGCGGTGACGCCCTTGGCCGTCTCGTTGAAGGCCGCGTCCAGAGCCGCAACTTCCAACCTCTTGGCTTCGATGGTTTGCTTGCGCAGCTCGATGCCTTTGGATAGCCCAGCCAACTGACTCCCCTTCTCAACCAACTCTTTCTCCATCTGCTCGAGGCCGTTCCGCGCGCGCTGCAGGTCCTGCTGCGGGCGTCGATGGAGGGCCTGAGGAGACAATAGCGCCCGCTTCTCCGCGCGCAACGTCTCCAACTGCTTCTCGATGGGGCTCCGTAGGTCTGTGTTGCGCTCGTCAGCAGGAGGGAGCTTCTTGAGAGCCTCCTCAAGCTCCGTGATCCGCTCGGCGAGCTTGGCAACTCGCGCCACGGCGTTGTGCTTCCAGGCTTGGGCCACTCGGCGACGGGCGGCGCCAGGCGCTTCTCGATGGCCTGCATCCACTCGGCAAGCTCCTTGGGCAGGCCACTGAGAGCAGAGGCCTGCTTCTTGGGAGCCCGCTTCTTGCCGCCACCGCCACTGCCGTCGCCTGCCTCCTTGTGCTTCTGGCGAGCACGGGAGACGATGGCGGCTGGCGCATCACGGCCGCAGAGACACTGGATGCGGCAAGCCCAGTTCTCCGTGCGCCCGCACTGGCCGCAGCTCCAACCGGGCTTGCGCGGCCCGCGCAGCACGGTGGCCGCAGGCTGCGGCACCATGCTTCCGTCTTGATGAATGCCAGGGTGGGCGGACCACTTCGGCGCAGGTGAAGAGTCGTTCCTCCAGGAGCTCACAGAAGGAGCCGATGGGCGAGGCAATGCCGCCTGCCTACCCACTTGCCCAAATCGCTGACCTGACCAGCTGCCTTGACAAAGAGGCAACTTGAGCCAACATGGCTCGAGCCAGAATGGCTACGGGGAGGAGGAGGGGGAGGAGGCGGAGGAGGAGGAGGAGGACGAGGAGGAGGAGGAGGAGGACGACGAGGAGAACGACGAGGAGGAGGACGAGGACGAGGACGAGGAGGAGGAGGAGGAGGAGGAGGAGGAGGAGAAAGTCGACGAGGAGGAGGAGCAGGGCCAGGATCACCCTGGGCAGCCGCCGAAGGTACACTAAGCTCGAGGAGGAGCACAGCAGGGCCCTGTGGCGGCTCCACCACGCGGTGGCTCAGGGCCTCCGGCGGTGACGGCGCCGGGGACGCGCGGCAGACTCCGTTTGTTGCCAGCCGCTGTTGCGGGGTGGGCCGTGGTGAGGACCGCTGCCGCCACTCGGCGGCGAGCGAGGGGAGGGCGTGAGAAGGAGAGGGCCCTCTCACGAGTCCCCAGCCTTCTGAGAAGTTGTCCAAGTATTCTCCGAAACAACAAACAATTTCTCGGAAGGCGCGAGGGCTTAGGAGAAGTCCAGCCGCCTTCTGAGAAGGCCTTCTCCTTTTCACTTCCACCCCTCGCTCGCCGCCGAACCACTCCTCATGAAATGTGCCGCGGACGAGCGGATGGGGCCTGGGGGGAGTTCGCCAGGAGCGAGACGAGTCCTGAGGGCCACGGGTCCTGGACCCCAAGGTTCGGTGGGTCATGTCCCTCCACAGGAGGAACACTCAAAATAGTCAAAACATGGTCTCAAGGACGATTTCTCGACTTTTTGTTTGTTTGCATGTTCTGGAACATATTTTGATGACGCACTTCTTATCTTTCCTGTCAGAAGCCGCCTGTGGGAGGACATGCCCGACCGAACCCCAAGGGCGTCTGTCCCAGGAGCAGCTCTTCCATACCGAGGGGCCCGGGGCCGCGCGGAGGGCCACGGGACACGGCGCAAGGCCCTCCTCCCTGACCTGGCTCCTCCAGGACAGCCGTTTGTCTTGCTGCCGAGTGGGGGTGGGTTCGGCGGCGCACGGTGTGCGCGTGTGTGTGTGTGTGCGTGTGTGTGTGTGTGTGTGTGTGTGTGTGTGTGTGTGTGTGTGTGCGTGTGTGCGTGTGTGCGTGTGTGCGTGTGTGCGTGTGTGGCGTGCGGCGCCGCGGCCCAGCAGCTGCCACGGCCTCCGCTGGCGGGGCTGGCCGCGCCAGCCCACTCACGCGAGAATTCTTCCGCCTCGGAGTGGCCTTGTCTTCCCCCCCCCCCGCGGCCGCCCCCTCTGCCTCTTCCCTTCTTGCATGCTGGCTTTACGGTATACCCCCGTCTAGCTTTCCCCCTGGTGCAGCCAATTCCTGCCTCGCCGCCGACGAAAAAGGTGTGTGTGTGTGTGTGTGTGTGTGTGTGTGTTCGTGGGGGGGAGCGGGGGCGCGGCGAGGATGGGGTCGCGGCGTTTGTGTCAGGTCCTCGCTCTCGGGCGTTCTGGAGGGCGGGGGGGGGGATGAGACAGGGATCGGATACAGTGGAGACCGATGCCAAGAAACACCCTGCTTGCCTCCAGGGTGCCCTGGGCTTCTTGGGTTTCGATGGTTTTTACGATGGAAGGAGTGACGTCCCCACACAACAAATCGATGGACATCCTGGGGTCTCAGGGTTGGTCTTCTTGTGGGAGGTTCCCTGTGGTCGCCCCCCCCACTGTGGCAAAACTCCATAAACACCTACATCTATACATATTGTTCTGAGGACCGCCCGCATTTCTTGGATCGGCGCTGGCTCCCCTGGCGCGCTCCGCGCGGTGCGGGAAGGGGTCCCGCGTCGACCGAAGAAATTCAAGCGGACCTCGGACAGTTCACCAGGAAGCTGGAAGTACATTTAGGTCGGGCATGACCTCCTACAGGCGGATTTTGGACGAACAATCGAAAAGTGGTCAAACATATTCAAACATTTGCCACAATGGTTAACACATCGTCCCCCTACTTTTTTTGACTACTTTTGAATATTCCTCCTGTAGAGGGACGTGCCCGACTCAAAAGTACAGGACGCGGCCAGCCTGGGCGATGGCTGGACACGTGCATGGCCACGCATGTTCCCAGCGGCTCGCCCCACGTGGCGAGGCACGCTGGCCCTCCGCATGCGAATCCAGCGCGTTGCCTCGATACCCAGACATGATCGCGTCGGAAAAAAATCCGGGCGGGAGGTTTTTGGCTATTTTCGGCCCCGGGGGCCCCTCGCCGGGCCTCGAGGGTCGAGACTTCCGGGGTCGCCGTCCTGAAAAAGTCAGGACGTCACATGTCCGGGTATGCTCTGCGTGAGAATCCGGGCATCTGTGCCTTCAGCTGCCAGCTCCGTTTCTGTGCAGCTTGTTTCTCTTCTCCGGGGAGGGGCACGAGGGAAGGCAGGGAGGCCTCCAGAAGGAAGGCAGAGGTCCGTTTCGCTTAAGTCGGGCGTGTCCCTCTACAGGAAGAATATTCAAAAAGAGTAAAACGATTGTCTGGGGACGATTTTTCTATCATTCCCAACATCCTGTGGTGTTGGGTCCTCGCTTTGAAGAGACGGTGCCCCGCGTCTCCTTCCTTCCTCCTCCCCCTCCTCCCTCCTCCCCCATCCTGGCTTTTGCTCTCCGCATGTCTCTGTTTCGGCACACCCCTCACACGTTTCGTGGCCCCATAGGGAGCTCCACCTAAGGTCCCAGTGGCGGAACTCGCATGGCGCCGCCGCCCCATTTTGGCACACCCCTCTCACGTTTCGTGGCCCCATAGGGAGCTCCACCTAAGGTCCCAGTGGCGGAACTCGCACAGCGCCGCCGCCCCATTTTGGCACACGTTGCGGAAGCAGCTGGAGCAGTTTGCGGCGCGCACGAAGCGGTGTGCAGAAGGGAGGCGACGGCCCTCGCCACGGAGATGGTCTTCACCGAGTTTATCCGCGAGGCTTGACCTGAGGAGCGGCCCGCCCGAGACTCGCCGTCTCTCGACGGTCTGACTGTTTGGCCTCGCGCCGCGGGCGATCCGCGCGCGTCGCTGGGACCCTCTCGGGGCGACCAGCGCGCGTCGCGGGAATTCCGCGCTGCGCTCTGCCCAGAGCCTCGCTCGCCCCCGTCGTCGCTCTGCCCAGCGGCCACAGTCTTGCTCGCTATCACCCAGCCAGCTAGCATTCTCTCTGCTCCGCGCAGCGGACGACCCGCGCGCGTCGCCGGGACCCCTTCGGGGCGACCAGCGTGCGTCGCGGGGACTCAGTGCGGCGCCGCGCCCGCAGCCATGGACATCGGCGTGCGCGGGCAAAGAGGCAGAAAAAGAAGGGGAAGGAAGCGGGCGCGATCCTCGTGAGGGGCGTGCCGACATGGGCGTCGACGTTGATGCACGTAGACTGATTCGCACGCAGACACATTCACAATCAGACTTACTCGCGCTCAGACTCACCCGGTCTCAGTCTCGCGCACTCAGAGCGATCGTCTTTGTTCGTATTGGGGGCCCCGCCACGCATTTCGGCACGCCCCCTCACACGGTTCGTGGCCCCATAGGGAGCGCGAGCGAAGATGATATCCACAATCGCGGAATTTACAACTGCATATGGTTGGGTCCTTCGCCAGGCTAATTTTTGACGATTCCTGATGTGTTTTGGATTGTTGTGACTTTTAGTGCCAAGTAAAAGAAATGATAACTGTTACATGTGTCGGGCGGCGTTGGGCCGTACAGGATTGTAGTGCACGATGTTGCCACTTCCGAGGGTTAAAACTGAGGCCTCAGTTTTAACCCTCAAGCGGACCAGGTCACCGAAGGCCCCCGACCAGGAGCCCTGCCAAGGGTGGGGCCCCTTTGCGGCCTCCTGTGGTCGCCGGCCGGGGGTTCCCACTGCTTGCGTCGGTGACCTTCTGGGGCCCCCTTGCGGCCTCCTGAGGTCACCGGCCGGGGGTTCCCTCTGCTGTTGCATCGCATTGTGTTGCATAGCATCTTTGCTGCCACAGTGCTCATGCTGTTCCGTAGCCTTTGGCTCAAGTGGCCAAACTGGTGCTCATTCTTATTGACCGTGTGATTTCTCAATCTCGTGCGCGCACCCCGCGCGCGGCTGCAGCGCGGGCGCCGCGCTGCTTTGGGCCCGCAGGCGGGGCCGGGCCATGGTTGACCCGTCCGCCAGCGAGCTCCGGGGGTTGAACAACCTCCAGGACATCCAGAACTGGGTCGGTCTCCAGCCCACTGTGTGGGCGGCTTTGCAGTCCGAGCTCGGGGAGGTTGCGCAGATCCGCGAGGTCGTCCTCATTCCTCCTCATGCTTGGATCGCCGGCGTGGCGGCCGCCCGGGTGCAGGATGCCACCCCTGAAGGCGGGGACCCCCCACCGCCCCGTCCTCTCCGTGGCGTCGAGTTGGGGCATGCGCGGGGGTTTCGTCGCGTCTGCCGGCTGCGCCTCGGACTACCTGCCGACGAAGAAGGCGAGGGCTCCCCTTCTGGGGGCGGCGGCGGAGTGGCGGCGCCGGGGAACCCTCTTGGGCCCCCGGAGGTCGTCAATGCGAGCTCCATCAGGAAGGTCAAGATGTCGACCATCTTCGACCAGGCGGACGACTCCGAGATCGCCCCCTGGTCGGCCCAACGGACGCGAACGGTCATGGCGGCCTTCAAGGCGGCCAACGACGACGAGGACCCCGAGCCAGACGAGGACGTCACTGGGGACCAGCTGGCGGCCTTGGAGCATCGCATCCAGACGGGCGCGTGCCCCTGCCCCGACTTCGGGGTGTGGCGGCCGTACGGCCAGCGGTTCGCGCGCACCCTCAAGCTGGTCGTGCATCACATCACGCCGGCCGGCGACTACAGGCCTTACGAGGTGCCAGGGCCGCCGACGTTCGCGGAGTGGCTGCCTGCGTTCCGAGTTTTCTCGGTCGGCATGCGTGCGCTCGGGGCCGCCACGACCACGAGGCTCCAGCTGTACCAGAACAAGATCTCCAAGTTCAACAACACCTACGGCGAGGTCTGTTGGTGGTTGGTCGCGCTGGCGGATCAGCGGATGCGATCCGAGCGCATGGAGCGCATCAGGAGGCGCGCCGAGGAAGAGTACGCGGCTGCGCAGGTTTCGGGGGCGCCGCACGCCTTCGACCCGAAGATGCCGTGGGACTACTGCTTCAAGGCCGCCGCTGCCGACTCCGATTTCTGGGATGAGGAGCTGGGGCGCAAGGCGACGCTCTGGGTCACCCACCTCAGGACCAGGCAGCAGCTCATCGACGACGGCACTGGGCATCCCGGCCCTGGCGGAGGCCCCAGCGGAGGCCCAGGCGGAGGCTCGGGAGGAGGTGGAGGCGGCGGCACAGGCGGCAACGGCGGCGGCAAGCGCGGTGCGAAGCGCGCCTGGGGGAG